CCCCCCGCTTTTTTTAAAGCATTTGGTAGTCATGGAAGTGAACTAAGTGGGCAGGCAGTGTTTTCGTGGCAGTGTTCCCTAGCGCAGTGTAGATATGTCCAGCGTTTCTGTGGCATTACTGTATATCCAACTTTTCCATCCCAAACAAACAAAACATTCTAAAAGTTGACAATTAGCCTCTAATATGTCTATTTAAGCAGCACATATAAAATGTAAACTTCATTTAACAATTATTTAATAAATAAGCCGTCTCTAAAAGGTGATTATGCTTACAAAATAGTTACAACCATGTGTATAATGGATTAAAATGGACATACATGATTCACAGGCCCACAATCTGATTTACAGTCTCTTATGTGCGCTTCCAAAAAACTAATCTGCAAATGTCATCAAGCCTAAGACAATAGCACATCATACAGGAATTAAAAAAGAAAAACAGTCAAGTGGAAATCTTCACATAAGTGAAGGGATTCATCATCACTTTAAGGGTACAATATTTTTTCAAGTGTCCTTTTGCATTTTTTACTGAACATAAAAATACTTTGAAGAACAGTAATGTAAGGGGTATATTTTAAGTTTTTTGGGTGCAGAAACTGTATTATCATGAACTGAACTAGACAGAACTGTGCAGTTATGAGGAGAACCAAACAGAACAACAAATAAAGGGAAAATTTTCAAAGGTACCATGACAGGTAGGCTTTTTCAATTTTAGAGAGAAGCAAAAGTCCCAAATCTAAACCTTCCTCTGAAAGACTTAAGATAAATTTCAAAATTTTTATGGTAATTTTTAGGGCAATGTAATTGGTATACTGATACTTATCTGGCCACTTTTATACCACATCATTACTAGCAGCTTGGCAGCAACAAGACAGGTTAGATGCTGCATATTTTCTTCCCAACTGCAGTTACAAATCATAATTTCTAACCACCTATGTATTATCCTGCTCCACTTCTATTTAACTGAATCTCCCATTCTCCCCAACTTTGAGTATAAATTGTTCCAAATACAGCAACCCATTATCATTATGCAGTTGTAATTTCTGACCTAATTAACAATTTTAGAATAAAGCCTCAGAGACTAGTGCTGCTAATTACTGCTCCTGCTTGATGAATAAGAATTGTATGCACTGGAAGAAAATTTTGGTTAGATTTTGCAAATCAGATTATTTCGCCAAAGTATTTATGGGGGAGGCAGAGGAGGTAGGAAAGGAAAGCAGAAAAAGTTACAAAGCAACTAGGAAGGAACAAATGTACGTATTTGAAGATGAAATGAACAATTTGGAAAATAAATGAATAAAAGCAGTTTCAATACAAAAAATATCACAACTGTTTTAAAATGACACTAAAGAGTGATGTACGTTTTGGACAGGAGTGCAGCCTATTGTCATTGTTAGTAACATAGTGCACATCTACCAGATACAATGGAAGAAATTACCTGAAGGGTCAGGACAACATTTTCTGGCTGTGGAAGTCAAAGCAGATGGAGAATGTGTATAATGCACAGGCAGCATGCACAAAAACAAATCATGTGAATAATGAATAATTAACCATAACTGAAACAATTAAACATACCCAAAATAAAAAAGTGCCAGTGACCTAAAAAATGCAAAGTAGTAAATAATTAAACCAATTAATTATTTATAAGAAAAAGTGTTAAGGAATAGAGGATTTCTGATTGGCTTGGGAAATCAAAGCTTCTTTATTCTCCAAAAATCTCTGTCTTAAAGTTACAGAGCAGTTAGTTTTGTATTGAACACCACCATATACTCCCCAAAAATACCCCTGGGTGAGGGGGAGCAGGGGAAAGAAAGCCAGGTAGTAAATATATGATTTATCAATTTCTCCAGGAAATCTAGGTGTCAGAGCAGTTCTGTTATACTTTTTTTTACAAAATTTCTTTTTGAAACCTACAATTGTTTTGACTTCAGGAGAAGGTACTGTCCAATAGCAGCTTTCATGCCCAGATTCATTACAAAGAAAGTTCATCTGCACTTCATTTTAAAATTTCCCCCCAGATTTTTTTAAATCTACAACAGTGGAAAGAGAAGAGAAAGGAAGGGGCGGAAATAAATGCATTTCAACAGGTGCTAAATTAACTTATGCTTCTCCATCCTCTCTGATCTTCCCTGCCATACATTTGCATTTTTATAGACCTGCATTTTGCATATTGGCTTAAGCTCCTTCAGACCCTAGAGAGAAGACAAACACCATCAGAGTCTCCCTGTGCCCAAGGAAGGGCCCTTGTGCCCAAAAGCTTGCAAAGAACATTTTTTCCAACTATTTAGTTGATTTAGTAATATATATCACATATATCCAAATAAGGTTATCTGTTCTCATTTTAGAAAAACAATGGATGTAGGGTAGATTTCAGTCATTTCATACAATCCTCTCCCCTTCTTGTTTTCAGAGTTTATGTTATGTTCAGATTAACACAGACCCTCTTAAACTGTTGTTTTTCCACATCCAGAGACACCAGTTCACACTTGTTAGGTTTTTCCCCTTTTCCTCAAAAGCATCTGAGAAAGCACCCGATAACCAAGGATCTGGATTTTCTGTTTGCCATAGAAAAACACAGTAAAACCCAGATGTTCTAATTTTTAGGAGAAAAAACTGGATTTTTTCCTTTAAAGGAGTGAAACACAGCAAACCAATAGGTTTCCCCTTGCAGGCTGGCAGAGTTCCAGCCTGCAAG